TCCTTGAAACCGAGCACCCAAACCCTAGCTAACGTAATCTATTTGGGTTTTTGTGCTCGGTTTAGGATTCGATTTGGGGGGTGGATCGATAGATCAATGTGTGTGAGCTGCGGTTGTTCAAACCTGGTTCATGTTTAATTAACCTGTCACATGTGTGCTATTTTTAGAATTAAAAGCACGCTCCTATTGTTACAATCTCTAATATTTTTTAGAGCTCATACATGGTGTAGATGTTTGAAAATACTTGAATTTCTAAACTGATACATTTTCGGTTATGAAGTACAACAATTATTGTCTAGTAACAGTTATTTCTCAATCTATCTTGGGTTAGCGTTTCACATTACTTAATTCTCTGTTGTACTGAAATGCTATGTATGTATAGTCATTTCCATTGTCACAAGTATAAACCTGTGAATATAAAAGACCGTTATTGAACTGTACCTACATCTATTTTGGTCTACAGATTTTTTTAGACATCTTTCTCATATAAGAAAACTTGCCCATTCTACCATGTTAGCTTTCTGTTATTGCATTCATGTGACAAACCACTCAAGATTACTCAACATCAATAATATAGATGAACCTGGGTACTGGACATTATTGTGCCAATTGGTTACCTGTCTACCCCATTTCTACCCCATTTCTGGATAAATGTAGATAGTTTGCAGTGTAGCACTGCACTAGGCAAACATGTTGGCTTCATGTTGGGGTATACTGCACTGATTCTGTGTAACTATAAGGCCAATGGCACTCTAGTTCACTGATGCTTTCATACCGTGCAGGGAAGTGACATCCCCCCATGTAAGTTCCATTGTGAGGTATGCAGTGATTTGTATGTGTTGTGTGAATACTTGCCGTCAATCTTAAAATTAGCAAAGTGCTGTTATTTTAGCTATTTAAATTATGCAGACACTGAGCAAAATTGAGAGCAAAATTCATATCTCTTATGTCACTCCTGTAAGTATCTTGGTCTAGTGATAGCTCCAGTGTAGCAGAGAGTAGAATATGATACTGTAAGTGCAGCCATCTCTTCTTCTTTTTCTCACCACTGTTTTGCTGAGTGCAGGGAACTGGCGATTTAACAATTGCTCTCCTACTAGGATGGAGTGAAGGGAAGTGACATATTGTGCAGGGAAGTGACATCCCCCATGTAAGTTCCAATGTGAGGCTGATGCTTATGGATCAAATAGTGGTCTTCAAAAAGCTCCTTGACCAGCAGTATCATTTATACCTTGCAGGAATCTGATGCCTTCTATGCCTCCTACTGCTCTTGGCTCAAACTCTAACAGATGTAAGCTTCACCTATTTTTCTTCTATTTTACCTAGCATTTCTATTCTGTGATGCGCTCTTATATGGATCAAATTGTGGCCTTCTAATGATGCTACAGACCTATGTAGTGAGGTGACAGTTTCTTCTATTGTGATTTGCATCAGCTATAAGTTAAACGGGACCAGATTTTAGATAGCTGTCATACTCTATGACCATTTTGGTTGTTTGTGAATCTAGATGCTTTTAAAGTTACTCAATTTGACTTCTTAGTAATTCAGTCAATGATATACATTGTGTTTCAGCTTTTAGTTGTTTTGAAATAAATTTTAGTGGAATGTTTTGCTTCAATTGACATACAGTTCACGTTTTGCAGCACTGCATCTTAGAGGAATGATCTAAAGATGGGTAAGGGGAAGATTGCTGCACAGTGCAGGTGAGACCTTCTTTGCTTTAATAATTATGTTATATTGTTGGGAGACAATTCCACTTACTATAACTTTGTTCACATTCAGGCAACTGGGTCTTCTCATGCTGCCTCAGAATCTGCCAACAATGTTAATGATGTTGGTCACACCAATGGAGATCTTCATGCTGCAAACGTTGACAACAATCAAGGTTCCGACAACAATGGCGATCATGCATCGATAATGTGATGGTTGTGTTTAGTTGCAAAACATGGATGTGATGGTGGTTTCTTCTTTTGTAGAGTTGTGCTTTTGCACATTAACTAGTAGGTGGCTCTAATCTGTTAGCTTTAGTTTTAGCTATAATATGACTCAATGATGCATGCTGGTACTTTACTCATCTTGACTGAGACTTGAACTGTTGAGATGAGACGGTAATGCTTTTCAATGTATTGATGCCGGACCATTTGGACATCATCTATATGTAGCCCGGATGCCATTAATGAATGTGCTGAACATTTGGATCTTTATATGTATGCTATCTATTATGTTGTGATGAAATTACAGTATGGATAGTCCATATTTAATATGTTGTTACTACTGTTCAGTTTCTATATAATTATTGTATCCAATTTGCTGCATGGTTAAGTGTTTTTTCTGTCGGTGGTCTGTTATTTTTCTGTGCGTTAACCGAGACCGACAGAAAAATAAAAATTTTCCTATGAGTGTACCTCTACGACTTTATCGGGACAACATCGATAGAAAAATCATTTTTCTGTCGGATTTTTCTTTTTCTGTGAGAATTAACGCACACAACATTTAAATTTAATCTGGGCTAACGCAATTTTTCTGTGCGTGTAACACCAACAGAAAAATTGTTTTTGACGGCGAACACACAGAATAATTGAATTTTTCTGTCATTATATTTCCGTATGTATTTTTCTGAAGGTACATCGTCAGAAAAAATATTTTTCTGACGGTATTCGTATTTTTCTGTGTTTTTGCACACATAGAAGAATGCGAGTTTTCAATAGTGCTCCCTTCGTTCTCCGGCGGCCTGACTGCGGCGTTCACATCTCGGAGATGCTTATTTATGCCAAGCTGCATTCCAAGTTGCAATTAGAAATTAATGCAGGCACGTTAGCACGTATGTACCTTGTGTCTGATTTGGCAGCCATTAGTTTAGGGATATTCATTCAGTACGTTGCAGAGGCGAGGCATCTTCTTTCCGGGCGACTTACCTAGAGTCAGGTCAATGACATTAGATACGGCTGTACTATATGGTAGGTAGTTGTATTGTATATTATGGTTGCCATCCATTGTACATCACATCACATCACAGATTCACAGTTTAAGGATGGTGGTCATCATCACAGTTCATACATACAGATATTAGTGGCAAGGCATGTGTGTAGATGAATATAAAACCTGAGCCTACACTTCACTCATGTAAACTACGCAAGCATCCAGCTCATGCTGTACTACGTCATGGTTTTTCTTGTTGGCGCCTTGGGTGGGTGGGTGGGTGGGGAGGTGAAGGCCACCAACCCCTTGTATTTCTAGCTAGGCTAACTAACTAATAACTAGTTAACCGTAGTTAAATGCGATGAGTTTGCAATTACATTTTAGAGGTTACCTTCGGTACGCGGACCACAGGGGTAGGAGCTAATTAACGAGAAGCTGCAGCCCAAGTAGAACTCAGCTTCCCCGAAGCAACGTTCCCGAAAGATTGAACATGACGACCAAAGGTTCTATAGGAAGACCGGAACTTGCGCATTGGTCAATGACCATCTTGTTTTTAAATGATTTGCATTCTTTTTTTTAACAACGCTCAAAAGAGTGTCTCATATCTGATATATATCGAGAAAAACAAAGGCTAGTACAGAAGATGGACAATAAGACATAAAACAACCTCTAAAAAATAAGATTACATAAAAAAAACAAATCGGTTGTCTTCTTCCTTCGATCATCCACTGCTTGCCGGAGCTTGAAAAATGCACCGAATAGATGGTAAAGAAAAGGAGCACATGCAAACATCCTCGCCAAACATGGCTTTGAACACCGAAAAAACTACAAGCTGCTGTCAACGAGAACTAGTACTCACTAAAAGAATATGGGCTGGAGGAACCCTTCAAGAAACACAGGCTTGTAAATCTTCACCAACAGAACAAAGTGTTCAAAATACTGGGCCTTGTTGTCAAATAGACCGAAAGAACATGTCAAGATCATCGCATTGAAAGTCAGCCAACTGTTTCCCAAGATAAACACACAAACTGCGAAGATCTGAGGAGAACTAACAGATCTGACAAACCATGCTCTCACTAGCCCTTTGTCGACGCCAGATCGAACGTGGCTGAGGTAGAGAGAGGCCGGAGACACCTTATTCCAATGCGTCATCGTTGCCGCCACCTCGTTGATGACACCAGAAACCAAACCCTACGATAAACCGATAACAAACCTAGATGTACGAAGGGGTCGGGTCCCCACTCCTCTAACCACCAGCAGATCATCGGATGGGAGAGAGGAGGGGCACCGATGCGGTGGCGGTAGAGGACCGGCGATAGAATGCCTCGGGGAGGAGCAGTTTCCGCGTACGGGTCTGGCCTACGGTTAATGATTTGCATTCTTAACTTCTTTTGATCCCACCCTTCTGTAATTACAATTAGGGAACACCTTTACATGAGACGACAAGCAATAGTAAAAAAACGAATATTTGATTCCACTAGTTTTTTACGGGCCTATTTGGTAGGGCTTCTGCTCCAGCTTCAAAAGGATGTTTGCTTCTTCTACCAAATAGGCCCTGATGAGACAATTTCTCCTAAAAGTTGTTTTCAGCTCCTCTCTTACGCATAGTTTGTCAGGTGAAGTTGGGTAAAGCTGAAAATACTAGCTTCTCCCACATCTCTCTTTCTCTTATCTTCTCTAAGAAGCTGTTTTACCAAACGTTTACGAAAACAGAATCAACTCTACCGATAAAGTTGCTTTTATAGCCAAAGCCAACAAAAGCTGATAAGCTGAGCTGTACCAAAGAGGGTCCGTTGGAGATGTTCTTAGACACTTAAATCTGTTTGCGCGTGATTGAAGGGAATACACTATATATATGCATTTCCCATAACATTAGGAAGCTGCCCTACAATTAGTGTCATCTTGACGATGATGCATTGATGCCTATCGTCATATTTTATGTTTAGGGCTTATACTATAGTCACGCTGCCTTGCTGACCAACAGCACCACATGTGCCCCCTTATATATCTGATCAGAGAGAGCTTGAGACACCATCGTGTCCTAGTTGAGGTTGCGATTGCAAATGGAGGATCCTGCCAGCATGCCGCAAGCCAAGCTTGCTACCACCGATCACACAACTCCCAACAACAGCCAAAATGCTCCTCCTACCAATCAGAATAAACAAGAAGTCACGTTGGAGCTCCGGAAGTACATCCTGCTGCTGGCCTCGCTGGTGGCCACGGTGACCTATGCCGCCGGGTTCAGCCTGCCGGGGGGCGTCTGGCAGGACACGACCGCCGACCACCTCGCCGGGGACCCCATCATCCGGGACACCCACCACAAGCGGTACGTGGCCTTCTTCTACTGCAACGCCACCGCGTTCGCCGCGTCGCTCGTGGTCATCGTCCTCGTCCTCATCCTCGCCTCCCTGGACGACAAGGAGAGCTCCACCAACTCCTGGATCGTCAGCCAGTACAGAAACCACCCCAGGCTCGCCGTTCGGCCGCTGCAGCTGGTCATGGTGGTGGACCTGCTCAGCCTCATGGGAGCCTACGCCGCCGGCACCTGCCGGGACACATTCACCACCGTCTACTCCTCGGTGCTGGTGGGCATCGTCTTCTTCTACCTCGTTGGTCAGGTGGCGGTGGCCTCGTGCTTCACCGACACCGGCTTCGGCGGCATGCACGAAGGCCAAGTCGAAGGAAACCCCAACTCCGGTTCCGGCGGTGGCGTGCCCGAATCCGAAGCCATCGAAAAAGAAGAAGAACGGCAGAAGGCGAAAAAAAGGTTCCGCAAGGTCAAGGTCCTGATGGCGCTTGCTTCAGTGTCCAACAAGGTCGAACAAGACAAGGCGAAACAACGGTTCCGCAAGGTCCTGATGCTTCTCGCTACGTTCGCCGTGAGCATCACGTACTTGGCCGGGCTGAGCACACCGGGGGGCTTCTGGGACAGCACCGGCGCTGGTCACCGCCCCGGAGACGCCATCCTCAAGGACCGTCACAACACGCGCCTGGCAGTATTCTTCGGCTTCAACACCACGGCATTCGTCGCGTCACTGCTCATCATCGTGGTGCTTCTGGACACGAAGCTCCGCGAGATCAATGCCTACGGGTTCATCGTCGTCGCGCTCGTCAGCCTCATCGGCGCCTACAACGCCGGCAGCTGCAGGCAGACTGACACCACCGTCTACGTGTTCAGCCTGATAGCTGCCGTTTTGCTGTGCATTTTGTTGCTCCTATGGGTTACAAGAGCCTTCAAGTTGTTGGAAGAGCCACCAACACCATCAACACGGCCAGCAGTGCCGCAAGCGCAACAAGCAATGATGGGAGCAAGTGATGGTCGGGAGAACGCGAATGGCAGGTACATACTAAGCTGAACTTCTTCCTTTGCAAACATTCAATATGAATTGCAGCTGAACTCATTTAATTTGTCTCTGAATGGAATCAGGGAGAGTAAAACAGAGAAGGGGAAAGCAGCAGACAAGGCTCGCTCTCTTGTCCTGCTGCTCGCCACTCTGGCGGCGACAATCACCTACCAAGCGGGGCTGGACCCGCCGGGCGGCGTCTGGCAGGACAACAGCGGTGGCCACACGGCCGGCGACCCGATCCTCCTGACGACGAATCACCGGCGGTACAAGGCTTTCTTCTACTGCAACTCGGTGTCCCTGGTGGCGTCCCTGGTCGCCATCGTCCTGGTCCAGGAGAAATTTCTGCTCAACCACCACGTGCTGGAGGCGGTCATGATACTGGACCTCTTCGGCCTCATCGGCGCCTACGCGGCGGGGAGCTGCCGGGACGTGAACACCTCCATCCACGCCATGGCGTTGGCTGGCGCCGTCCTTGTATACGTGGTCATCCACGTCATCTTCATCACGCTGGACGACGACACGCGCGCAAGGAGCGAGAGTGACAAGGAAAAGGACAATGAGTTGGTGGAGAAGACACGCAAGCGGCTGCTCCTCTTCGCCATCTTGGCGGCGACCATCACCTACCAAGCCGGCCTCACTCCGCCAGGGGGGTTCCTGCTCCAGGACGACCAGTCTGGGCACCACGCCGGTGACCCGGTCCTCCTGTACAACTTCCCGCGCCGCTACAAGGCCTTCTTCTACTGCAACTCGGTGAGCTTCATGCTGTCCATCGCCCTCATCCTCCTCCTCGTCAACCCCAAGCTGTACAGGCCAGCCATACGGACGCACGCACTGTCCGTGTGCACGGCGGTAGGCTTGTTTGGCCTCATGGGCGCCTACGCCGCCGGAAGCACGCAGCATTTGAAGACATCCATCTACATATTCGCGTTGGTAGCAGTGGTCATTTTCTTCATAATCCTGCTGTTCCTGGTGTTTTGGTTTACGGGCTGCAGCACCAGCACAACTCCACAAGGAGCAGCAGTGGAGACCAGCAACAGCAACGCTACTACTGGTACTACTTCACAAGGACCAGGAATAGAGACCAACAGTACACAGAAGAAAAAGAAGAGAGTACATGCCAAGCGCAAGTACCTCATGTTGCTAGGGATCCTTGTGGCAAGTGTCACCTACCAGGCTGGCCTACAGCCGCCAGGCGGAGCTTGGCAGAGCAGCAGTGGAGGGTACGAGGCCGGCAACCCAGTGATGCACGACAACAGGAGGCCCCGGTACCTGGCTTTCTTCTACAGCAACTCCACTTCGTTCATGGCGTCCATTGTGGTCATCCTTCTCCTCCTGGTACCGAAGAAGCTATTTGACGATAAGACATGGCACAGGAGGTGGCTTGTGGTGATGAACACTGCAATTGTGCTGGATCTGCTTGGCCTCCTGGGTGCCTACGCAGCCGGCTCAAGCAGGCGGTGGAAGACATCTGTGTATGTGTTGCTGCTGGTTGTAGGCGTGCTGGGCTACATGGGATTCCATCTCCTCCTGGCTGGCATCATCAGAAACAGGAATGGTCAGAGGACAAATCCCCAAGCAATTGATACTCCTTCAGTCTAGTGTTTGTATGTCCCTCTTTGTTCAACTATATATTTGAGCCCGAGATATCAATGCATGTTGACTCACCAGCAAAACCCGAAGCAATTGCTACTCCTCCAGTCTAGTGTTTTTATATATGGCCCTCTTAGTTCTCTAACTATATAATGTACTGGTATTTTATTTGAGCCTGAGATATCAATGCAGTAAGTCTAGTTTTTTTTAAGCTAGGATCCCTTGCACAAATACCAAAGGCCATATATGCATGTACTTCAGTTACGTTTCATTGAAACTGAAGTGCATATAGAATGGAACAAGCTTACCGCGCAGAAACAAGACAAGCAAATGCCTCAGAATAACTAGAATTTAATTGTTAATGAAAACATGAACATCAAGTTTTGTACTGAAAGACAGCTGTGCAACACCCTAAGATCAGTCATGTAACCACCAAGATACCTTTAGAGCATCTACTGCAGTCCACCCAGAGAATTTCATTATTGAACAGGCCAAGCCACTCTTCCACAAACATGCAATCTAAAATGCCAATGTACCCGGGGTCTTGCACTAACAAATTTCATGGAACACCAACCAAGAGAACTCAGTTGCCATGCTCTCCAAGAACACCAGCAACCTCCACATAACACATTTCACGCATCAGCATCATGACATGTTGCATGCACCATTGTTAAAAGCACTATTTTAGCCATGCATCTTGTGGAATCTTATACAACTACTACATAGCTGGTGCATGATTGAAGCTCACTAGATCAGAAAGAACAGGACCAGACAAAATTGCCTATGTTTCTAGGTGTTAATTATTGTATGTTGGTGATGTTAAGATATTAGTACAGCTAATGTAAGGTGGTTACTTGTTGGAACAAGCATCTCACATGATTCAAAGACGACGTTAAGTTCTTGAAAAGGGTATAAAAATAAGGCAAGTCTACTATGGTCAAATAAACTCTAAGCAATGTCCAATTCACACAACCGCGAAATCTGAATATTTGGGGTCTGTTAGGATACTAAGGGTTAATTGTTAGCCAACTAAAAATTAGTTAAAATTATTCCTAGCTCATCCAAACAAGGGGCTAATAGGTGGGATAATTTATTAGTCTTCAACTAGTTGTTAGCCAACTAGCTAACCAATCTTAGCTAATTTAGGTTATTTTTTAACCCCAACTAATAACTAGTCCTAACTCATCCGAACAAGCCGTTGGTCTGACAAAGTTGTTGAGCATTGCTATTCCCCGTCAATTTTTTTACAGTTTAATTTGGTCATACATTATTGTAAAAAAGGGAAGATTGGATGTGAATAGATGGATGGTATTGCATTGGTACCCTTGGCCGGTAAATATAGAGTGATAGTGCATTTGGGCCCTTGTGGGTTTTGGCGCATTGAGTGGCAACACGATTAAGGGACTAATATTATTTATGAGACTTGCAGGCACTTAGTCCAATGTTGTTTATTATGTGTTGGAATCATATAATGTGTGGTGATCATATAAATGTCAATTTGAGTTCAAGATTTATTGTGAAGCAAAGTTTTGCAAGCAAGTGTGATATCAAATAAATAAGACATAAATGATTGCATATGGAATGGTCTCAACTATAAAGCTTGCAAGAACAAATATCAAAGATAGTTATCAAGATTGTGAGGATTATTGGAAACAATCTAGTTCAAGCACAAGACAACAATGCAAATGAAATGGTGTTCAAATCTTGGTTAGAAGCATTGACAAGACATGTTAATCTTGAGAAGGTGAAGGTAGCAAGCAAATCTCTTTGAGGTACTAAGTGAAAGGTGAAGGGCAAGCGACGGTTTGGCGGCCGATGGACCTAGCTAAAAGTGAAGAAGGAACTTACTTGCATTTAGTTGAGGCACTAATCAAGTGGTGTTTGTCAATGTGGAAGATCAAATCAAATGTTCACAGTGATTTGAAACGTTCGACACAAATCACATGCTCAAGATGGACAAGCTCAAGAAGTTGAAGTAATGAAGACCCTCAACATTGCTTAACCAAAGTGGCAATCAAGTCTAGACAAAGAAAAGCTCAATTGGTGGTACAAATCTTTTTATTATATTTATTTGAGTTGAGTTTTGCCACACTAAAGAGGGATGCATCACTAAGTTTTAGACAAGAAAAAATAATGCTCAAGTAATCCTATGTAAGAAAAGACCTGAGAGAAAGAAAGAGTGAGAGAAAACCCCAAATCCCTAGCTAGTCAGCCAAACCCAGTCATACCTGGATGGCATGCCGGTCAAGCCAGGAGTAGGCCAGACTAGGTTTTATCCTGGTCAGACCGACTTTAGCCCAACGGCTAGTTTAGTTTGAATCCCGGTCAGACTGGGTTCTCATCCTGGGTAGACCGGGTTCTCATCCCGGTCAGACTGGGTTTGCTGCTCAACCCAACAGCTAGTTTGTCTTTGGTGGCTATTTATACCTCTCCCCCTCCTTTTGTTGCTGCTAGTTTTCCTCACTTCCATCCATGACTAGAAGCACTTGGCCACTCCTCTCTTCCTCTTTGTGAGTGTTCTAGCTCCCAACTTTCATAATCTTTGATTAGAGAGTGAGCCAACCTTTGTGAGTTTGCCTTGGTTGCATTAGAAAGCTTGAGAGACATTGTGTGAGCTGTTCCATTTTTAGCACTTGAGCAAGTCAAAGAATTCTTGTTCATTGTGTTCATTTCTCTTGGAGCTTTGCTGCTAGGAGGCAAAGAGTCACCAACAAGCACCCAAGGATGCATGGGCTGATGCGGTGGTCTGGTAAGAAGGATTGGTGTTCCTACTGAAAGGGGAAAGATGACTCCTTAGTGAAAAGGTGTAAGGAGGTCATTTAGGTCCTAGCCAAGAGAAGACCTTGTTGGGTCACTCACCCACTTCGACAACAGGAACATAGGGCACCTTGGGGTGGCCCAAACTCTGGTCAAACAAATCCTCGCTTCTCCCCTTTGGTTTGCCACACACTTGTTTACATTGCATATATTATTTGTGATTCTGCTTGTGCTACACGGGTGTGGTGATTTGTGTTTGCAGGAGTTGTTTGAAAGCGTACACATATCTATAAGCATTGCCATACTCCAAGTCGCATCTACATGGAGGGGGCAAAAGGCTCGAAGCACTTTTGGGCACAGAAGTGTCAAAACTTCCGATAGCTACCGAAAGTACCGACAATCTAGGTCTGACCGGGTTTTGATCAAGGTTTGACCTAGAGTCGGCCTGATCGGGTTCCTATCCTAGTCTAACCGTGTTTGTCTGCAATGTGATGATTTTAAGTGCTAACTATTGTCTTAAAAGTTTGTAGAGCCTATTCACCCCCCCTCTAGGCATCGAAGCGGTCCTTTCATAGAGTACCGAAGCACTTGCATGCCTACATGCTAGGGGATCACTAACTCAGTCATAGGATTATAGTTAGGAGCCAATGGCTGAGAACTAGCCTATCTATAGTGAGTACCAAATATAGTCTAACATCCGCTGCAGTCACAGCGGGAGCGCCGCAGATGGTGAGACTGGAGAAGAAGTCAACGAACATCCCCCTGCAGTCACAACTTAGTGTAGTGCAAATACTGGGACCACAGAGAAACCAACACAAGGACTCATGTAGATGATAGCCCTTTGTGCTGATGTCGAGGTAGCCAAGATAAAGGGCATAGTTGTTGTGTTCGAAGAAACAGTGCTGAAGTTAGCCAAGGTCAATGTAGTTGTGGTCGTGTTGCCGTGGTGATGGAGCTGCAGGCGCACAAGAGGTGCCATGGTGATGACGGAGATGCATCGAGGCAGTTGTCATGGAAGGGACAATGCCGAAGTCGATGTAGTCAAGGCTGTCGCAGATGTAGAAGAAAGGCAACAACACAATCAAGGTAGATGAGGTGGGAATGGAAGGGTCAATGCCAAAGTTGATGTAGTCATGCCGTCTGAGTCAAGGCATGGGCTGGGTTTGCGAGACCCATCAACACATCGGGGATGAACGCGTGCACCGGTGTTGCCAATGCTGGACATACATGGTAGAGGTCCCCAACCATGCATTAGCATCTAAGAGACTAATAGAGAAGGTCTCGACGATGGTTGCGGTGCGCAAAGCAGTAGGGTAGAAGGCGCAGCACGCAGTTGTCGGAGTAGACGAAGTTGGTAGGGACAAGATGGCGACACTGACAGCGTGATTGTGCTAGATGAAGAAGCAGTGCGGGAGCGGACGTATCAGCGAGCGGGGCTCAGCGACAACACGAGGGGGCAGTCGGCGAGCAGGGCTCAGTGACGGTGTGGGTAGCGGTGGCTTGATGACGAAGACCCAATTAGCAGGACGATCACCTTGTGCATATTGATGGCACAACAAAGATTGTGTAGCACAACCATCGATGCACATGGGATGGCAAAATAGACATGGGCGGCGGTCCTATGGCTCGATGAGGTGACACAGCAGCAAGCTAGCAGCCCTGTTGCTCAGAGAAGATGAGCCTAGAACTCGGCGGTGGACATCATTGGAGCCGGGTGGGTCATACATAATCGGTTGTACGGACCGAGTACGCGCAAGGTTCAGCAACAATGGAAGAAGTCGGTAGAGGTGTCCTGATCTATGGTGGCGATGACGAACCGACGATGTAGACGTGCAGGCTGAATGACCGAGAAATGACGTGGGAAGGCATCCCCTTAGCATCACAAGCTCTGGCCAGGCCACAGAGTCAAAGATGTAGATGCCGGTGAAGTCGATGCCAATGCCGAAGTAGTATACGCGAGGTCAACAAGCGGTGGACGACACAAACCCGATCTCTGATCAAGAAAAATAGAAAAGATACTATAGCAACATCTCGTGTAGGATCCCTGGGTGCACATAGAAAAAGACCCCATCTCATCCTCTTATCTCTTCCCATCTATCGGTCAAACCAGGGAGAGGGAGAGAGACAAAGCAGAGGAGCGAGCGACACTGGCGGGGAGGTGAGGACTTGCGACAGGGCGACTAGGATGGATTTGTGCGTGCGTGGGAGAGGGCGTGTGTGGAGGGGAGCAGAAGGCGGGCGTCACAAGAGGTGCATGCGTTGCGGGAGGGAGGCCGCGGGAGACCAGTGGCTAAGAAGGCAGGGGTGCGAATCTCACGTGGAAGGATGGGAAGGGGAGTGCGCACGGGTGTGCATGGGACCATGCAGGAGGCGAAGGCGCGTGGGAGGCCGCGCGGAAGGCATGTGGTGAGGCGGTTTGCTGATGCGTGGGGAACAGGGTCAAGCACGACAGGTGAGACGACACACATGCAAAAGGAGAAGAGGTTGCCTGCGGAGGGCATAGTCTGCGGGGGAGGCCGCTCATGGAGGAGCCTCGGGATGGGCAGGCACTGTGTAGCGCCGACGGGCAAGGCGCGCTAGACCTGATGCCAAAGGGGGGATGTGATGGGGTGGCAAGGCTGACCTGACGTGGAGAAGGTCAATGCTGGGATGGTCAACCAACCAACGGACGACGACACACAGGTGGGAGCTAGCATGATCTGGTGCTGCTGGATTATGACGACGACCCTAAACAGGGGCGCTGCCCTCGGCGAACATCAATCTTCCTAGGGGCGCACGGTTGCAGAAGCTGGCGGCGGAGGATCTAAACCTAGGCTTTGATACCTTGTAAAAAGAGAAGACTGGGTATGAATGGATGGATGGTATTGCATTGGGACCCTTGGCCGATACTTATAGAGTGCTGAAGCACTCACATGCGTACAGCATGCTCGGGGATCACTAACTCAGTCATAGGATTATAGTTAGGAGCCAATGGTTGAGAACTATCCTATCTATAGTGAGTACCAAACACTACTGGAAACTCGAATATTTCTGTGGGTGACGAATTTTTTTGTGCGTTTTTTTCGGTACGCACAGAAAAATTATGATTATTCTGTGGGTTCCAAAATATCCCGACAGAAAAATACGAAAACCCATAGAATAATTATAACATTTTTCTGTGCGTGACAATAGACACACAGAAAAATAAAAACTCACAGAAAAATACAATTTATTCTGACGGTTTTTTAAAAACGCACAGAAAAAATATATGCACGCACAGAAAAATGTTATTAATAAAATAAATAAAAAAAATCAAAACGTGCTAACCCTAACCCGAGAGCCGCCGCCCCCAAACACCCGCCAGCGCCCCCTCTTCCCCTCTCCTCCCAGCCCCCAGCGCCCCCGCCCCTCTCCTTTCGGCCCCCAGCGCACCCCCCCCGCCGGAGCGCCCCCCCCCGCCGACGCCGCCTCTTCCCCTCTCCTCCCGGCCCCCAGCGCCCCTCCCCCCGCCGGCGCCCCCTCCTTCCCCGGCGGCCCCTCCTTTCCCCGGCGGCCCCCTCCTTCCCCAGCGGCCCCTCCTCGCTGGATCCGCCGCCCCCTCGCCGGATCCGACGCCCTCTCCCCGGATCCGGCGCCCCTCCTTTCCCGCTGGCGTGGCAGTGCGGATCCGGCACCCCCTCCTTTCCCCAGCGGCCCCTCCTTCCCCGGTGGCCCCTCCTTCCCAGGCGCCCCCCCTCGCCGGATCTGACTCCCTCTCCCCGGATCCGGCGCCCCTCCTTTCCCGGCGGCGTGGCGGCGCGGACGCGCCATGGACGGCCCTACATTCCTGTATCAGTTGCCTGGGAATATCTTCCCATATCTGATGATATGTATTTTTGTATATGTTGTAGTGCAATATATTTGCCATTTCTGGTGTATTGATTTTACTTGTTTGCTCGTAGGATGCTTTTGCTATCCAAAGCAATGAGCGTGGAATTGTTGCTCGTGACAGCGGTGCTTTTGCATGGGAGATTGTTCCGGTGATTTTCTTTCACTTTGCTAGGACTTGAAATTACAGTATATGCTTTGTTTGGTTTCCATATTATGTTCAATGTTTTGTCAACCAGATTGAAGTTCCCGTTGGGAGAGGAAAACCACCTGTACTTATTGAGAAAGATGAAAGCCTGGATAAGGTAAATTTTCTCATGCAGCAAAGACATAAGACTGGCGTGCCCTTTGATTCATTATTCTTCCTACGGTGCAACAGGCCTCCTTACATGGGGACATGTGCAGATGATTGTTTCACTTATGCCGTGCAATTTCTTGTGTCTCTTAGTTTGACCCAGCAAAACTGAAGAAACTTCGCCCAAGTTTCAAGGAGAATGGTGGTACCGTTACAGCTGGAAATGCTTCTAGTATAAGGTAACTTCTCGACATTTACGTTATTGTTACTTAGTCCTTTTAAGTTTATCTCCAGTTGTATTATAATTCTTGTGATTAGCTATGATGATAGTTAACTTCTTTCTTTACATTATGCTTGCATTTTGTTATTTTTGTTGCTGTCCTGTGCATACCATATTTGACTTGTGTTTGTTCTTATGAATTGGCACTCCTATTATGTTTTAGGGGCTTGGTATGCTCTAATTTGTTAAATAGATTGTAACTTTTCTTCTTGTAAATGATTTATTATCACATAAGAAAGTAAAGAAGTGTTTGTAATGTCTTATGCCCATTCAAAGGAAAATCAGTCTATGTGTATAATTTCTTCTTGGTTGTCTTCAAAATTCTTTGATCTCACTTTGCACTAGCTATTTTTTCCATTGACTGGTACTGTCCATTGTGTACTGCCTACTATCCGCTTGTGTAGCTACAATCGATCATATCTAATTTGCTTTTATATGGATCAGTGATGGGGCTGCTGCATTAGTTTTGGTGAGTGGGCAGAAGGCTCAAGAGCTTGGCCTGCAAGTCCTTGCAAGGATCAGAGGATATGCAGATGCAGCTCAAGTAAGCTACAGTAACAGTTATCTCACTTGAGAGTAGAGTATGTTTTGTCTTGATATTTACATTGTGATCTAAATGTTCAAGGATATTGGGAGTTTATTTTCTCGGACAGTTTTATGTTACTATTTTATACATAAAAGTTTCTCAACTATTAAAATTGTATTCTGGAATTTTATTTTGTAACCATGAATGTTGTTTATACAGGCTCCGGAACTCTTTACAACCACCCCAGCACTTGCGATACCAAAGGCTATAGCAAATGCTGGATTAGAGTCATCCCATGTTGATTTTTATGAGATTAATGAAGCATTTTCGGTATGTGCTGACTACTGAGAGTTTCTTTCACTGAATAATTGTTTTTTGTAGTTTGCTATGCAGCTGCAGGATTTAATAGCATGATAATAACATTTCTTGTGTGTGAATTTAAAAGGCTAAAATGTCATTTTCAGAAAATGCACCTTGATTCTTTTGTAGTAGTAGTTTGCTATAGGCAACAGCAGCATTTAATAGCATGATAATAAAGTTGTGTACTAACAACGCATGTGGTTGCAGGAAAAGATTAACGTTCATGGAGGAGCTGTATCTTTAGGGCATCCTCTTGGGTGCAGTGGTGCTCGCATTTTGGTCACCCTTCTTGGTGTAAGTTTTATCTTAATCCCTTTGTTTAAAGATGCACAATGTTTTTATAGTAGAAAAGTTGAAGGTAATCTGTAATTAAATAATGAATTGCGTCAAATACTTGAGGCCTTGAGCATATCATAGCGTTTGCCAGGAAGGGTTAAAAGATCTTTACTAGTATATTGCTAGTGTTCTGTTAGTGAATTTTCAGTGTGTAAATAGGAACCTAGGTAACCCTGCAAATCCAAGCTTTGACATCGATACTTGACTCATATATTATGAAAACTGTATCCATAAGTTCATATTTGAAAAGAATCCGTAAGTTCATATTTGAAAAGAATCCATAAGTTCATATGCAGTCTAGTGTTCATGCTGCTGTACTTAGGTTTGCAGTTTGACATCTGGAAGTTAGCTGCCAAGTTACTACCACTGCAGAGAGGTTATTTGTACAGCAGCATTCTTTATAGGATTAAAATGCATTCTATTCTTTGAGTTATTGATAGTTCATCACCTGTATGCTAAGGAAAATTATCCTTTTTTTATATATTTGGGATGAACTGTTGAATTGATCAATAAATCTACTAGATTATGACTCATGTTTCTTTTATTATATTTCGGCAGGAGGTATCAAATAAGATAGTGAATCATAACGTAATATGCTTTATAATTTCTCTTAACCTTCCATTTTTGTACTTTAATTTTCAAGCATTTCTTTTATTTTCACTTACTAAACAGAAAAGATGCATTAGCTATAGTATTGTGCAACTAGTTAATCCATTTGAAGTAATGCATAGCACATTCTTTTGTTTAGGTATATAATTATTCTGTCCTGCCAATTTCCAAACTGTATTGGTTTTTCTTTTTAATCCTAAATTATAAGGCTTGTGCCTAATTTAGATGCTTGTTACCCTCTTTTCCATGCTGTCTGGCTTACCATCCTCTCGTCTGCTGATCTGTATTGCCTGTCTTTGATTGAAGGTTCTCAGCATGAGCAGGCTGGGCACGACGGAAGCCGTCGTCCCGCTCCTGACGGAGTCCTAGACCGAGGTAAATCACATCACGCGAGCCTGAATGAACTCAGAATACATTGTGCGTGCTTCTTGTGACTGGGCTGCTGCTGGCAATGCAGAGCTCCGGTGGCCTTCTCCTGTCCCCGAGGTCAGGCTCAGGCTCAGGCAGGCAGCGGGCAGGCGGAGGCAGCCTGTCGTCGTCTATTTTTGACATAAGTGTTGACTCCATTCATGATGAACTACTGATTTGTGTATTATTTGAATGAAACCTTGTTGGTCCTGCACAGAAAGTACTGTATAGAAAATATATTTTTTAATATGCTGTTGATACTGTTTTAAAATAATTTTTTTGTGTGTTCAACCATTTTTTCCTGTGAGGCTGGCTACACAGAAATATTTTTTTAATTTGGGCGAAATGAATTTTTCTGAGTTCACCTAGACTGACAGAAGAAAAAACGTGTTTTTCTATGCGTTTATGTGTTTATTTCTGTGTGGATTAACACACAGAAAAATTAGTTTTAATCTAGGCGAATATAATTTTTCTGTGCGTGTGAGACCCACAGAAAAATTGTTTCTGACGGTGAACCCACAGAAAAATTTGATTTTTCTGTCATTATATTTCTGTGTGTATTTTTCTGAGGGTATACCGTCAGAAAAATATTTTTCTGACGGTATTCGCATTTTTCTGTGTGTTTTCGCACACATAGAAAAAAGCGAGATTCCAGTAGTGAAATATAGTCTAATGGTTATGGGGTTTACACTTGTTCAAATAAGATATCATACAGAACGAAACAAGTAAACATAAAGTTTATATGTAGGAGAAAGATGTTATAAAATATATGTGAATAAACTGCAACGTGTTTGTTTGTTTTTGGGAGGAATAACACTACAACAGTAGTATGCTACTATGTTACCTACATATAATAAGCATACAGATAATTATATGCCAGCCCTGATGGCAAAGAATGTCGTAGCAGAACCAAAGTTAGGCAGTTTATCTAAAAGTGAAAGGACAAACCATTTTTTACAACCCTTCCGGACTCTAAAGGACCCTTTCCTAACGCGCACGCCGCTAAGGATAGCAGTGCACACGCGCCCACCCTGTCTCCACCCACGCATGCAGTCCCTGTTCATCTTCCCTGGCGAGCCCCTTTCTCCCTCCCACCTCGACCACCGCCCAAGCCACCGGACGAGCCCACCCTCTGCTAATTAGAATCGAAGAGCTCAACGGAGATCTCGTCCCCACCGCTGGCACCGCCCATCCGGATGTCCTCCGCCGCCTCGCTCACCGCCGGCAACTTGCCACCACCGTCAAGCCGACCGCCGCCCCCGGCCATTCCTTTAGAGCCGAGGAAGATGAATAGGGACCCCAAACCAAGCCCAAACCCTAACCCTAACCTTAACACCTACCGCCCTACCGCCGTCAGCCTCGACCGCCGCCGTCCCTAACCCAGAGGAAGATGCCGTCAGCCTCGACTGCCTAGTCGACGAGGTTTCATACTGGCGTGTGGCGCAGTGGCATGTGCCTGCCTCTGTCTCCTGTTCGATCGTGCGCCTGCAGCCGTGCAGTCAGTTCATCCTCGACGGCACAGTGTGGATGATTAGACGAGGAATAGGATTAATTAGGGCACCACGGCGGCGAACGGTCACGCGGCGCGGCGACGTGTTGTGGGCGACTGTACGACACGATTGAAGGGAACGTGGCCGTGGCTGCATGGCCTTGTGGGCCGCGTGGGCCTCTCGTCACGTGAGCACGGTCATCCACTAGGGGCGTGCGGGCGCGTTGCATGCAAGCCAGCGGCCGTTGGCTGCTGGGCGAGGGCGAGGGCGAGCGTTCTCCTGGTAAGTTTTTTGTTTATTTTTTTTCAAAAAAAAATACACATATATACTGTGGTATCGCAGGATATGCCGGTGCATACCTGGCATACCATGTAGATCTGCCCCTGGTTGTCCTAGCCTCTTGCCAAATTGACTGGAGTTTTTTTAATGGAGGTGCAAGTCTAGTTGTCCTAGCCTCTTGTCAAAGCATTTCCAAGAGCGGTTTCATAAATAAATCCGCTCCTGAAAATACGTTTGTCAGGGACGACGGCTTATGCACTCAAAAGGTAGTATCCTAATCTCTTTAATATTGTACACAAAAAATAGGCTACAGTTGCACATACTCTTAGCACATCTCATATTAATGTTTCATTTAAAAGGGCATTGGTAGGGAATAAGCTACTAGAGTGGAATAATCTTGTAGCAAGGCCATTGAATATAAATCTACAAGATGAGAAGGATATTTTCTTTTGGCTTTTGAAACCAAATGCTTCCTTCAAAGAAAAATTCTATGTACAGACACCATCATCAAAAATGGGATCAAGGTTTCACAAGTTGTTTGGCGTCTTAGGTTGACTTTAATTTTTTTTCATGTGGTTTCTTAAAAGGTGTGTTGCTCTAACCAAACATAACCTAGCAAAAAGATTTTGGAATGGAAACAAGTTTTGTGCCTTTTGTTGTAGGAGTAATCAATTCAATGTTTGTTATTTGACCACATTTACGCTAAATTTCTTTGGCGTGCGGTACACCTAGTTCTAGGTTTGTGACCACCTAGTAGTGTTATTGACCTTTCACTACAGGAAAACGCCTCTTTGCCGACTGCTTGCCCCGGTCGGCAAAGGCATAAACCCAGTCGGCAAAGGCTTTGCCGACCGCAAAGCTCACGTGGGCGGTCGGCAAGAAGAGCAATGCAAAGCACGGGTCGGCAAAGGCAGATTTGCCGATCGCCACGTCACATGATCAAGAAGCCTTTGCCAACCGCCACGCCAAATCGGCATAGCCAGATAGTTACGTCGACCACCAAATGACGGCGGGTTTTGCCGATCATTGTTTCCTCGGCGGTCGGCAAAGAATTTTTTTTTCAAAAATTGTTTGCCGAATCGGCCGCCTTCAGCGATCGGCAAAGAAAGAAAATATTTTTTTGAATGTTCTTTGCCGATTGCTTTGGAGTTGCGATCGGCAAAGGTTTGACCTCTTTTGCCGATCGCCTCCCATCGCGAAATCGGCAAAGACTACATCTGGGGTTTTTTTGACTTTGCCGATCAGTAAGCAATCGAAAAAAGTGGATTTTTTTTTTTTTGCTTTTGTTTTCTGCTTTCTCGCATCAAAACCTCGCAAAATCACAAATTATAATCCAATTTCACCGTAAGCACCTAGTAGCACCATTTATATCACAATTTCATCACATTTGTCGCCAACATCACCACATATATCACAATAACGCACAACATCACATATATCTCACATATATGTCACAATAACAACCACACAAGTGCATTACAACCATCACATGAAGTCCAACACGTCCGAACACCACAAGTCGGCGTCCATCACACGAAGTTCAACATAACAAGTCTAGGTCCATAACGAAGAAAAGAAATACATGACAACAACTTCGACGATACGGTGGATACATGATAACAGAATCGACAAATACCTAGCTCGTCGCCGCCGTCCCGGTCTCGTCGTCCGCTCATCCGCCTCAGAGCCCCTGGGGTTTGCCCACGGAAACCCCTTGGACCAAATCGAGGCGCTGCACAGATCGCCACCCTCCCGCATGCCGTGCCACGAAAGTACGTCGGAGGAGGAGGGCCACGCGGAGGTGGATACGGTGGATAGGGTGCAGGTGGTGGATACGACATCATCTGATGGCCGGGACCTCCAGGAGACGGGTTCGAACCCGCCGACTGTACCTGCACAAGTTAAACGCCAAGTGCATCTACAACGCGCTCCTACCATCTAATAGGTGAAGGATAGGTCCTAATCCCACCCCGAAAGCATCTTGCGCAGACGAGGTTAGCTTCCATGCTCCGCTCCCGTCCGAGACGGAATTTCGGCGACACCTCCTTGTTCTCCCGATACACGTCCCGGCGGGGAGAGTGTGTATCCAGAGAACAACGGGGAGGTCCTGCCAAAACTCCGACTCGGACGGGAGCGGAACATGGGAGCTAACCTCGTCTCTGCATCCTCAGGCTGCCCAAATAACGTGGACAATCCGAAACGGATACGGTTATACATATGCGAAGAACGTATACTTCCAACCGTGATCCGTTTTTGACGAGAGACGCCTAACTGGGTAACGCGACCTATGACTACATGTGGCGGAAGAGGGGTCATACTGCAGTGCCGGTGAAAAAGGCTAGCGGGGCGAAGCTTGAGTCGTGCTCCTCCGGCTAGCCTCCAATGGGAGCCCTCCGAAAAGAAAAAACAATTAGTGAGAACGAAAATTTTCGGCAGCACCTCCCCTGTACGGGAAGGTTACCAAACCTGCAAGAAAAGACGGCACGATGGCCGACAAACACATATACATGTCACGCACGATGGCCGACAACCACAAATGTATTTCCAATCCATGCAGAAGAATATAAGCAGGTATTAACAAAGTAAACTACTACTACTAGTAGTACTACTACCTCAATCATCACGGACGGCGTCACCGGGCGTGGAGCAGCGGCGCGCCGCGAGGACGGCGAGGCGGGACGGCGCAGCGAGGCGAGGACGGCCGGCGGGCGAGGCGAGGACGGCGAGGCGAGGACGGCGAGGGCAGGATTCGGGCGACGCAGGCCGGGCGGACGGCGAACCCAAGCCATGGACGGCGGACGACGCGACGGACAGACGGAGCGGGCACGCCGGATCGGGCGGGGCAGGACGCGCGGGCCGGCAGGTCGGCGAGGCGGCAGCTGCAGGCCGACGCCGAGTCAAGACGCCAGGCTGGCCAGCCTGGATCGGGGCGGCGGATCGGGCGGGCAACACGGTGAGGGGCTCAAGGGGGCTGAGGGAGGGGCAAACTGGGGCCAGGGGGGCCTTGACCACTGGGGACCACAATGGGAGGGGCCACCTGGGAGGGCCACAGGGAGAGACCACAATGGGGGGGGGCCACGGAGGGGACAGCCACATGGGGAGCCACACGGGACCAACATGGGGCGCCGGAGGGAGGCCCACATGGGGGAGGCGCCATGGCGCCAGGGGGGGGAGGACCAGTCTTGGGGGGGC